GGGGGGGGGATTTAAATGACTATCTGGTAACCCCTAGCAGTGATCCTATCCCTGTGATTACCACAGAGATTTAAACTGAGAAGCATCTTGCCTCCCCCCCCAGCCCCTAGGTTCTTGGCGTTTTGTTTTTTTTACTCAACAACTTTGGTCCCCCCCCCCCTTTTTTTCCTTCAACAGAATTTTGTCTCAGTGATTTTTTTTTTTGGGGGGGGGGGGTGTTCGGTATTTTTGTTTCAACCATCTGGCAACCCTAATAATGATATATGTCTTGGACATTCTATATTTTATTTACATTTCGATATTTTAGTGCTGTAAGTCCTGCTGCTGCTTTAGCCTGATTGCAGGGGGAAGACAAAAGCAGTAGCATGTACCAGGGCTAACTAATATAAAAATATCAATTTCATTTCTCGACTGATAAAGAGGTTTGTCAAACAATGAAGGCAAGATGCTAACATGTAGACTAATGAAGGAAGAAAACCAAACTGGGGAGGAGAGAGGACTATATCTATGTGTGTCCATTCTGTTCCATAAGTAATTACGTAACAGTAATGCTGAACAAATGTTTTATCTATATAAACTTTTTTCAGCATTACGGATATGTAATTATTTATTAAACAGAATGGATACTACACTTTTGTTACAACCTATAGTAATGAAATTCATTTCAACTCCTGCCTTCAGCAATCAATACTTAACTGCTCAACTTCATGATGCAATTTGCATCAGATTTTCAGAAGAGATCAGCTCCTGTTTTAGGCCACTTTAAGTGTGCAAGAGGAAACTGAGTTCTTTCCAGCTGGCCCCCACTGCAGATTGAGAGCACTTTTGAAGGTCTGAATCTGTTTTGTTTTAACATTTTAAATAGTGTGATTCCTCTTCTTTCTAGCACTCGTCTATCAAAAATAGATTTCAAATACAGATTTCAAAGGATGATAACAATGTTTTATGAAATGATAACCTCTCAGGAATTTGGAAGAGATTCTCTATTTTAAAAGATAAAAGTCAAGGCACTGTTTTAAGGGACACTGTCAACTTGATTTTTTTTAACTACTTTAAAAGATTGCAAGTAATGATAGCGCATCCTTTAGATTATATAGTAAGTCCTGGTTTCTCTATTCCCCACAAAGACACCTGAAAAGGGGTTTTTGTTCCATTGCTACTTAAAGGGACTTTTCAGACCAATTCAGATTCCTATCTTGCAAGCTACTCCATGCACTCCCTTGATTCTGTGTGAGCATTGGAAAGTGTTTGCATAAAGCAACTTTCACAGCTTTAGAAAGTCAAGCCCTTACCCTCTGACACTGAAACTGACTAAAAAGCTCACAAATAAACAAAGTAACCAAACTAATAAATAGTTTTGGATTTTTTTTAAACAACTAATTCTTTCAGCTACAGTTAGGGGTGGAAATTCTGACAAATGTGTTCAATTTGACAGTACTTTCATCGTCTCTTTCACTGGAAATTAGAGTTTGGGAGTTTAACTCTTTTTTTTTTTTCAAAACAAACTATGCCAGTTCAGGAGTAGCACCTTTTCTAAATAAATGGTCATCTTCTCATAGGACCAACAAGTGTCTATCATCCCTTGTCCGAAATGCCTACTAGGCCCTCACACCTCACTCCTTTAAGAAAAAAAAAAGCGGTGCGTGTAAGGAACCGGGAGCAGGCGCACACGGCCCCGCAAGTCTCACTCCGTGGCCAGCAGAACAAGGGGGTGGGGGGCGAGTTTTCAAGCAGCTGATGAACTCCTTCCCGGAGGAGGAGGAGGAGGAGGGATGCGTGGGTTTCCATGCCTGGAAACAGCGGCAGTCCCCGAACAGGCTGCGTCCCGCTCCGCGCGCACCCCAGCCAAATCCTGCCGCCGCCCCCCCAGTCCTCTCACAGCCAGCACCCAGAGCGGGATCAGCCGCCACCAGCCTGGGCAGAGCCCTCGATAACAGCCTCCTGGGCGGGGGCAGCCGCCTGGCGCCCTCGAATTACTGCTTTACCTGCTCTCACGCGGCTCGGCGCAGGCACCACGGGGGGAAGAGGCCCGGGAGGGAACAGCAACCTCCGCCCCACCCACCTCGGGGCAGCTGCCTTGCTGCAGCCACAGCGGGCTGGAGCCCACCCAGTGGCTCAGCCGCCACCCGAGTCCCACCGCAGCCGCCTGGCAACGGGTTATTTACCTGCGTGGGGAGTGCCCCCCATTGCCTGGCGCGGGGAGCCCCCGCCCCCCCGTGCCCGCGGCCGCTGTCGGGCGGGAGAGGGGTGTTCGGAAGGAGGGAGCCCGTTATTGGCCTACTTACCATCAATCGCCATGATCTTCCAGGTGGGCCGTACCAAGTGCAGCGCACGCAGGAGACACACGGACAGGCAGAGGCTGGAAGAAAGATTACACGGGGAGGGAGAATGGCGCGTGCCAGGGCAGTGGAGCTGCACGTGACTCCGCCCCCTTCTTCCCGGCCACGCGCGGGCGTATTCGAAAGGGCGGCAGTTGGGCGGCGGTGGCCGACACCATCCCGAGGCCAACAGCCGCCGCAGTCCTCGTTCGCTATTGCCGCTGCCAGGGACCCCCAGCGACGCAGCTCTGCGTTCCATCCTGCGGCTGCCCTGAGCCTCGCGCTCTTCCACCCGCTGCCCGCCGGGGTCTCAGCCTGAGCCCAGGGAAGGCAGCGGGGTTTGCGCCCGGCAGTCACTCCAGTGGAAACAGGATTTGGCCCGTTAGGGAGTGCAGGGCTCCTCTCTGCGGCTCGCCCAAGGAATCGGGGGGCAAATCCCGAGTTCACCGTGCAGCTTGCTGGGAATTTTGGCCTAGAGTTCAGTGGGATCAGAATTTGATCCATTTAAAGTTAGGCATCAATTGCAGATATGTTCTTTTCCCACTGCAACAGATACCGATGTTTGTAAGCAATGGCAGCACTTTTTCTCATACAAAATAGGCAGAACTTTGAAATTTTGCACATCTGGTATCAGTAGCTGATCATCCTTGAACTGATGAAAATATTCTAGTTCTTGTTAAAAATGGTATATTTTCAAATGGAAAATAATACAGTTGTTCAGGTTTGGGGGTTATATTTGTTTAAAAAGCTATACATTGATTCATATAGAAAACAAAAAGACCTGAAATTGTAAATTTGGGAATGTATTTCAAACACAACAGTTACTTTAATCATGTGAGCTTATGAGCTTTATGCACTAGGTGTGTCTGCAGGAACAGTGCTTAGATAAGAGAATGAGGTAGTCCTAATTCTTGTATTTCCTTAACTTTCAAGTGCCTCCTTTTGCTACATTAACACTTTTAGTATAACATTTATGTAATCTTGATATTTAAATATGTAAAAAGCAGAATTTAATCCACTCTGTAAAACAGTATTGACTTCCCCCTCTTCCCCACCCATCAACAAGATTTGAGATCTTTAAATTCACAGCACTGTCATCTATCAGTTGAGGTAAATATAACCAGTAGAAGACTTATCTCCTATGTGAGCCTTCCACAATATCATGGGTGGGAAACCTTTTTTGCGTTGGGGGCTGCTGACCCATAGAAAAATCAGTCAGGGATCGCACACAAGCGAAAAGCAAAACAACCCAACCCTTGCTGATGTGGCCCCTGACTGAGAAGAAGAAAGATACTCCCCCCATTCCTTCACACAAACCAGAGCATAGGGAGGCCCCGTCTAGTAGATTTTGAGTGCTCCAGCCCCCTGGGGGTGCTATAATGCCAGCACAGGCTCCCCACTGCTGGGGGAGGAGCCCTGAGCCTTGGGGGCTGGAGCCTAGCAAGCTGAGGGCTGCATCTGGCCCCTGGGCCTTAGGTTCCCCACCACTGCACTAAACGAAAACAGTGGTTTCCACAGTTATTTGCTACAGGCCATACTCTCCCTAAGTCCAAGATATGTTCCACAAAACTTGGACTTATAGTGAAACAACTTAAAGAGAGGATTTTTTTTCCCTCAGCTGACTTCCACTTGTGCAAATTGGGCTTCTTTTTTTGTGCACGACTTAAGAGCGGGGAATGGAAGGATTTATAACACATCAGTTCCGACAAGTGTCAATGACTTTAGTGCAGAACAGATGTATACTGTGGCAACTTTTAGCGGGGATGTCCTGTATGCAGAAAAGGAATGTTGAGCCATGTAATTGTGAAAATGTGCCCGTTATAAGCCACTAAAAATCTCAGTTTTTACATAGACAGATTTTGGCAGGAAGAGTTTCTAAACATTCATCTGCAATGAGCATGCTCTAGCCCTTAACTGATTGTAAACACCAACTAGATTATGGGTGTGCCATTCCTACACAGCAACTGAATATACCCTGGGTCCCACTGAATATAGGAGTCTGCCCTTACAGGATCTGGGCTCCAGTTTGAAAGACATTAATGAATCATCGCAAATTTGTGGGTGGCATGCAAAAAGTCATCCCATTATCACATGCTTGCATACCATTAATATGTTATGACACACAAGTTTGTCTCTGATAAACTCAAATAAGTGGTAATCCATCCTTTGGAGACAGTGGAGTTAATGGTTGCTTGGGTCACAAATAAAATGGTGATTGGAAATCTCATTCCAGTTCCCCTTTTTTTCACATCAGAAAATCTCCACACAATTCGTCCCAAATAACTGTTTGCTCTGGAAAGAGTTCCAGGACTAAAATAATAAGTCACTTCAGGTCAGCAAAGAGGTAATTGGCAGAGATGTACAAGAATCATGAACATTGCTTGCCAGCAATGTTCAAATCAAAATTACTACCTGCCAGTCACATGTAGTATGTTTACATTTTTAATCTTATACTAAATCAATAGATCATAGAATGAGATTGTTGGCTACCACTATGTCCTATTTTCTCAACTGCAGTGTTACTAAATGAGGATCAAAGCTTTAAATCAAATAGCAAAATTAGTTCTTTGTTCAGGCCATATAAATCAATTTTCTTTTAAAAGTAGTGTGGATGCTTGTGACAAACTGAACTTTGTCTGAATACATATTGCCCTTTATAAAAGTAATATAAAGGATCTGCTGGTGGGTAAAATTCTCTGTGCAAAATTCAAGGATCCAGTCATTGATTAAGAATCGTTTCTTGGACTCTCTCTCTCTCTGATGTTTCTCGCCCTCCTAACTAACTATCCCCTATCCAAATCTTCTCTTTAGTTTCCTTTCCACTCTTTTAATTGGCTTGAGTGGAATCACTTGATGACTTTTCGGTTCTTTTTCTTTGTTATCTCTATCTGATAAACAGTTGGGCCAGCTTTGTTAACAATGTGGCATGGTCCCATCCACTGTGGAGACAAAGGATGACTTTTCTCGCTGAAGTGTCGGTATAAAACTTTATCACCGACGTCCCATTCATGGAACTTCAGCTCGTCAGCTAGTCTCTTGTCCATTTTCTGAATGTTGCTCTTTAGGTTGACGGCTACTGATTTTTGAATTTCGCTCATCGTTTTCAGGAGTTGCTTCAAGTACTCGGAGGTTTTGATCCGAGGATGGAAACCATCTGGCGGCACCCCTCCTTCGACCCACCAGATTTCTGGCATTCTCATTGGTCGACCGAAGAGGACCTCATAGGGCGTGTAGCTGTGAGCTCCTACGGTAGATCGTATTGCCATCAAGATGAGTGGGAGGTGTGTGTCTCACTGTTTTCCTGAAGTCTCCACTACTTTTCGTAGAGCTGTTTTTAGGACACGATTCAACCTTTCCAGTAATCCCGAGGACTGTGGGTGTCCTGCTATATGGAAACGTTGTTTAACATTAAGCGCAATGCAGAGTTGTTTTATTACTTCTGCGGTAAAGTGAGACCCTCGGTCACTATCAATGACCGATGGTAATCCGTACCTTGAGAAAATGTCATTCAATAGCACACGGACTGTTGTTTTTGCTGTACAATTCCGTGTAGG